AGACAAGCACCCACTGGTGCAAGTGCACCCACTCGTGCCGAAGACATGGATGCGGCCAATTTCCTCGCCACCTTGGATCCTGCGTTACGACAAGCGGTCCTCGCCGACCAACCCGAGGAGATACTTGCGACTTTAGGTCCAGAGTTTGTGACCGAAGCGCGTGCTCTGCCTGGAAGACGTCTCACTCAGTTTGGTGATATTCCCAGAGTTGAACATCGACAGAGGACTGAACCAGCTCCCGCGCAAGAAGAGAAGAAGCAACAGCGCCGTCAAATCGTCCAGATGCTCGACAAAGCTGGTGTTGCCACATTACTTCGTCTGATGTTCATGCCGCTTCAAGGAAACGCGCGCCACCAGCTCAACGATATTCTCTACAACGTCTGTGAGAACCGTCAGAACCGGGTTGAGGTTATTAGCCTTCTTCTTTCTGTTCTGCAAGATGGTAGCGTGGATGTTTCCGCCATTGAGCGCAGTTTCGCTCAACTCTCGCTCCGGGCAAAGCCTTCTGCACTGCAGAAGGCAACCCCTCAACCTGTCAAGCGAAGTCTAGCTTTCCAGGCTTCTTCGAGCGTCAGCAACGAAGTGACCCCGGTCATGGTGGTACAGCAGTGCCTGGGAACCCTCTCTTTCCTGTCTCAGTACAATCCCCACATCGCGTGGTTCTTCCTCACTGAGCATGATCCCTCGTCCAGCCTGAAGCTCAAGGCGTTGCGCAAGGGCAAAGGAAAAGAGAACAAGGCAAACAAGTTTGCCTTGAACGCTCTGCTTACTTTGCTTGACCGCAAACTGATCATGGAAAGCCCGAACTGCATGGAGCAGCTCTCAACCCTTTTGAGCAGCATCACGCAACCTCTCACTTTGCTGCTTCGTCGCGAGAAAGAGCGACAGGAGGAGGAAGAGAAGAACAAGAAAGCCCAAGAAGAAAAGGGTGATGAGCCTGCCAAGGAGGAAGAACAATCCGAGCAGCCTGCAGACGCAGCACAACCCGCGCAGCCCTCCGAAGAAGCACAACCCACAGAAACTCCTGCGGATGCTACTATGACAGACGCTCCCTTACCAAGTGTCGAAACCACTGAGGCACAGGACAGCACGTCGGAGCAACCCAAGGATGGCGCTGATAAGGAGACCAAGGCGGAGAACGCAAAGGAAGATGGCAAGTCGAAGAAGAAAGCCATCGAGCCTCCCGTCGTACCCGACCACAATTTGCAACTGGTTGTTCACATCCTTGCTGCCCGTGAGTGTAACGGCAAGACCTTCAGGGACACGCTCTCTACCATCAACAACCTCTCTGCTATTCCTGGCGCTAGGGATGTGATCGGAAACGAGCTGGTCAGCCAGGCTCAGACCTTGAGCACCACCATTCTGACCGATCTGGACGAACTCTTGACGCATATCCACCAGGCTAAGAGCGGGACAGACATGCAAGGTCTGTCTCTGGCCAAGTTCTCCCCGGCCAGCTCTGATCAAGCCAAGCTGTTGCGTGTGTTGACTGCTCTTGACTACCTATTCGACCCTAACCGCGCCGACAAGGTCAAGGGAAGCGAGCCGGATCCTGCCGCCAAGGAAGATGTCTTGCAGACCTTGTACGAGAGCTCTACCTTTGGTCCTCTGTGGACCAGACTGAGCGAATGCTTGACTGTCATCCGACAAAAGGAGAATATGCTGAACGTGGCTACAATCCTCCTGCCTTTGATTGAGGCCCTGATGGTGGTCTGCAAGAACACCGCACTGAAGGAAACTGCTCTGGCTCGTAACAGCCGTGAGCTGTCTGTGTCAAGCACCGGCGATTCTAGCTTAAGCATGGAGAGTCTCTTCTTCAAATTCACGGAGGAGCACCGCAAGATTCTCAACGAGCTTGTTCGCCAAAATCCCAGATTAATGAGCGGGACATTCTCCCTCCTCGTCAAGAACCCCAAGGTCCTGGACTTCGACAACAAGCGGAATTACTTCACTCGCCGCATCCATTCCCGTGGAGCAGAGCCTCGTCACCCCCATCCTCCTCTGCAGTTATCTGTAAGGAGAGATCAAGTCTTCCTCGACTCCTTCAAGTCGCTCTACTTCAAATCGGCAGAAGAGCTGAAGCATGGCAAATTAAATGTCCGGTTCCACGGCGAGGAAGGTGTCGATGCCGGAGGTGTGACTCGAGAGTGGTTCCAAGTCCTTGCGCGTGGCATGTTCAACCCTAACTATGCCTTGTTCATCCCCGTCGCTTCTGACCGGACCACTTTCCATCCTAATCGTCTGAGTGGTATCAATTCGGAGCATCTGATGTTCTTCAAGTTCATCGGCCGAATCATCGGTAAGGCCCTGTACGAGGGTCGCGTACTTGATTGCCATTTCAGCCGAGCGGTCTACAAGTGTATCCTGGGCCGGTCAGTCTCCATCAAGGATATGGAAACGCTTGATCTGGACTATTACAAGTCACTCCTTTGGATGCTCGAGAACGATATCACCGATATCATTACCGAGACCTTCTCTGTTGAGACAGACGACTTTGGAGAGAAGCAGGTGATTGACCTGATCGAGAATGGACGTAACATCCCTGTTACCCAAGAGAACAAGGAGGAATACGTGCAGCGCGTGGTCAATTATCGCTTGTTCAGCTCTATCCAGGAGCAGCTTGACAATTTCCTGAAGGGTTTCCACGAGATCATCGCCCCTGATCTGATCTCTATCTTCAATGAACAGGAGTTGGAGCTGCTGATTTCTGGTCTTCCCGAGATTGATGTGGACGACTGGAAGGTGAACACCGAGTACCACAACTACTCTGCCTCCTCGTCCCAGATCCAGTGGTTCTGGCGGGCAGTCCGCTCATTCGACAAGGAAGAGCGTGCCAAACTCTTGCAGTTTGTGACCGGAACAAGCAAGGTACCGCTCAACGGCTTCAAGGAGCTTGAGGGTATGAATGGCGTTAGTCGATTCAACATCCATCGCGATTACGGCAACAAGGATCGCCTCCCAAGCTCGCACACATGCTTCAATCGTAAGTTTATCTCAACCATCGCAGCTATATTTACAAGATACTAATTATGGAACAGAGCTTGATCTTCCGGAGTATGAGAGCTACGAGACTCTCCGACAACGTCTTTATACCGCCATGACGGCCGGTAGCGAATATTTCGGGTTTGCATAAAATTGGTGGTGCTGTTTTCTTTTTCCATGTGGCGGACAAAATAAGTTTTTGTTTTCTTTTCGATTTACAGTCTTCGTTTCAATGCCGAAGCATTTGATGGCGTTTGACACATTGCTATGCTTTATCATCTGGGTGGATTGTTTACGGGGGATGTTCTGTGAAAGGAAAGATGACTGGGACTGCCCGGAGACACTGATTGAAGTGCAGGTCAATCAGTGATCGAGGTGGTGGTTGGGTGGCTTATACCCTGTCCCGGCGGCTTTTCTTTTCTTTTCCTTTTCATGTTTTACCTAGATTTATCTTTTGTTGATTAATATTTTCACATTCTGTGTAATAAATGCGACGCTTTTCTTCAGGTGCCTCTTCCCTCGTAAAGACGTATAGTGACGTTCCGGGGCGGTGAGGTAGAGTGGAACCCGGGTCACGGGATGGAACATTTTTCTGCTGGGAAAAAAAAGGTCCCTTGCCCGGCGGGGCAATTACTCTCCTCTCTCTTTGCATTCGATCGCATATCCAGTTCCTTTTACTTCCCTTTGGCTCCGTCCTGGTTGATGGGGATTCATCTTCGAACACTTGTGGACTCGACCTACTTGGTTTTCTGACCCAATCTCCCTGCTTATTCCAGCCGTTTCTCCACCAATCAACCACTTCAACCCATCCTAACCGGGGTCTTCAATTTACTCAGACAACATGGCTACGAACTCGATTAAACTTTTGACTGGTAACAGTCACCCCGAGCTTGCCCAGCTCGTGGCTGATAGGTGCGCACCGGTTTACATGACCCCGCGTGGTCGGGTTGTGCCAGTATCGACCGAGGGCTAATGGCTTTTTTTTCTCCGGATTTGCAGGCTTGGCATCGAGTTGACCAAGATTATGGTCCTCCAGTACTCGAACCAGGAAACCAGCGTCACCATTGGCGAGAGTGTACGAGACGAGGATGTTTTCATCCTGCAGTCCACCCGCCCCAACGACATTAACGACGGCCTGATGGAGCTGCTCATCATGATCAACGCCTGCAAGACCGCCTCCGCCCGACGCATCACCGCTGTCATCCCCAACTTCCCCTACGCCCGACAGGACAAGAAGGATAAGAGCCGCGCGCCCATCACCGCGAGACTCATGGCCAACATGCTCCAGACCGCGGGCTGCAACCATGTTATCACCATGGATCTCCACGCCAGTCAGATCCAGGGCTTCTTCAACGTCCCCGTCGACAACCTTTATGCCGAGCCCAGCATGCTGAAGTGGATTCGGGAGAACCTGGACGTGAACAACTGCGTCATTGTCAGCCCCGACGCTGGTGGTGCCAAGCGGTAAGTATCAACTGGGGATTTGTTCCGTTCCAATGATTTTCGCTGACTCAAAAACAAAGTGCCACTGGTATCGCCGACCGTCTCGATCTCCAGTTCGCTCTGATCCACAAGGAGCGCCAGCGCCCCAACGAAGTCTCGCGTATGGTCCTCGTCGGTAACGTGAAGGACAAGGTCGCCATCATCGTCGACGACATGGCCGACACCTGCGGTACCCTCGGCAAGGCCGCTGCCACTGTGATGGAGCACGGCGCCAAGGAGGTCAACGCCATCGTTGTGCACGGCATCCTTTCCGGCAACGCCATCGCCAACATCAACAACAGCTGCCTGAGCCGCGTCGTCGTCACCAACACCGTTCCCCACCAGGAGAAGAAGGAAGCTTGCCCCAAGATCGAGACCATCGACGTCAGCCCCACACTTGCCGAGGCCTGCAGACGTACGCACAACGGCGAGTCCGTCAGCTTCCTTTTCTCTCACGCTGTGGCCTAAGCTGGGAAATTTGTTTTTGTTCTTTGAAACGGTGTATACGATGGACGGAAAGAGGAAAGAAGAGAACAGAACGCAGGACGAACGGTCTCGGGATTTAGGAAGAGAAAGATTGTCTGTAATCGAGGAACCAGTCTCGACTTGCCTACTTCTTTCACCCTTGTTCTTCTTCTGCCAGAATTCTCTTTCTTTATTTGTTTTCTTTTTTCTTTTCTTTGATACTATTGCATGGGGTTGCGTGCTTATTGTGAAAGACTACCTATTGCTGTTGTATGTTTCTTTTTCTTTTTTCTTTTATCTACCGAGATTTGGATGGCCTTCTTTTTGTTTCTCTTCTATCCATCTATTTCACAGGTAAAGATTTATGACGCTTGCACGAATTACAGAAGTTTTCTTTTCTTTTCCTTACTTTCTCGGAGTGATGCGAAAGAGTGGGTGAGAGGTGGTGGTTGGTGGGTGGGCTAGTCTTGACTGGAAATGTTACTTGAGATGCTGAGATGATGACGATGTATATATAGAAAATCCGAGTTCTACTTTATTTCTCTCACTCGTCAATCTTCGATCTTAATAGGGTAAACGCAGGTCGTGCGTGAATGAATTATGTAGCAATTGTTAGAGTACACATATCGACGGAATAATATAAAATATATACTTCTATCAAGGACTGGGTCAAGCTGTCCGCTCATTCAATAATTATCCAACTTGCACTTTTTAGGTACCCACAATTTGTGGCTAGAATAGTCAAGTCATGACATTGTCCCCCTCTAGCGAGAGAAAGAGATTACTATGTAGTACTAGGTAGGCAGGTAGATAGATAGGTAGGTAGGTGGGTAGTTAGCCAGGTGTAGGTAGTTAAGACTTTGTCGCACTGGATAGTTATATATATAGGGTTTTACTTACGAAAGGCCAAAAGTGGCAGGGGCATATGTTCTGTACCCGGGTGGTATTGATTAATTTCCTTTTGAACGGACTTCAACAGAGTATTTTACATATAGTACATGTATCCTTCCCCGCATCAAATACTTCGTGGAATGGTGGGAACAAGCGTGGGGTTGCATTGGTATATATCAGTTGAGAAGTTAATCTCGATCCTGAAGAGAAGAAGAGAAGAAGAAGAATGGGAAGAAGCAATAGAAAGAGATAGGAAGAAGAAGGGGACGAGCGAGACTACAAATGTAGGAACAGAATTTAAAGAGGTATATTATATGTTCTTTTAATCAGTCAGTCAGTCAGTCAGTCAGTCAGTCAGTCAGTCAACCAGTGAAGACAAGACGATAGTTAGTTCAATATCTAAATTGGGACGGATATATATATAGGTAAGGGATAGTTATGATGTTCCGGAGACTTTCAAGTAAGCATTAGGTCAATCGGTCCCTGTCGTTAACGGGACAGAGAGACTGATTATCCACTACCAATTAGAAAACATGCAACCAAGGGAATAAGGAAGCAAAGTGGTAGGGTTCTTTAACGGTTTTCCGACATTGCCTAAGTTGTGTTGAGCGAATATGGGAGCGGAGTGGGAGCGGGAAATGGGAGCGGGATGGTAATGGGAGGGGACGTTTTGTTCTTTTTTCTTATTCGTTGTTCTTTGTTTTTAAGAGAGAAAAAAAAATAGGAATATCGTTTCTAACCACACGCCCACAATGAAAGTAAGAGTTCTCTCGGTCCCCGCAAGACAGACCACTCTTCTTTTCCATCATAGTTCTTTATCACCATCCCCACATATCTCTTTTTACCAGGAGGAACGGAAGGAACGGAACAAAAAAAGAAAAGGAAAAGAAAAATATTTGTGAAGAGTCTGTCATGTCCTGCTTTTTGTGAACTCGAAAAAACTCCCCTCCCCCACACCAGCGTTCAACCCCGGTTTCCAGATTGTCCCTTGTCCGTCACGAGATTCCCGAGCCAGAACAAAGTTGAGACGTTACCCGACCATTAAAAACCCAGCGGAATTGAACGTTTACTTCCGCATCGAAGACGCCCGGCGCTTGCGGAGCTCGTCACGCTTGGCCTTCTCCTCGTGGACACGGTTGGCCAGGAGCTTGGCGTAGTCGTTGCTATATCCTTGTTAGTACAACTATAGTGTACAGAGAGATTAGAGGGGTCTTACGCAGCCTCGCGGGAGGACTCAGCGCGACGGCGCTTCAGGGCAATCCTGTGACGCTTGCGCTGCAGGCGCTGGGGAGTCACCAGGCGCTGGATCTTGGGGGCCTTGGTGGTCTCGGGCTTGCCCTCCTTGGTGACGGTACGGCGGATGACGAACTTGCGGACATCGTCCTTCTTGTCGAGGCCGAAGAAACGCTGGATCTTGGTGGCGCGCTTGGGGCCGAGACGCTTGGGGACGATGCTGTCGGTGAGACCGGGCAGCTCACCCTCACCCTGCTTGACGATGCTCAGGGCCAGGACGGCAAGATCGAAGTTGGTGATGGCTGGAGCAGATATCAATAACCTGTGCTATTTCGGTGATTTTCTCGGGGCGCACACTGCGATCTGTGTGCGATGGGGGCCAAACATACCACCACGGACGGACTTGCGCTTGCGCTCACCGGTGCGGCGGGGGCGGTAGCAGCTGTGGCCCTCGGCGAGGAGCAGGCGGGTACGGGTGGGAAGGAGAACTGGAAGATCGATGAGTTTCTGATACGGTGAATCTGTTGGTTCGGTCGGTCGATAACATACCACCCTGCTTCATGGGGAAACCTGAAGATTAATACTGTCAGCCAATGTTCCTTTTCGCGATCGTTTCGAAGAATGATTCCCATGATTCCACGGTCCACGTTGTTTCCTTGAACTCCTCCCTTCTTCTCCTCCCTCCCACGCACGGAATCATAGGAACCATTCAAGAAGAATAAAAGTGTTGATCCATCCGTACCTTGCTTGTCGTTACCACCGGTAATCTTGAGCAGATAGCCCTTGAATTCATCACCGAGCGAGTCACCGGCAATCTGTATCATTCAAAAAAAAACCCCAATCAGCCATTTGTCCCATTCATTCATTTCATCACATCGCCCATCACTCCTCGCAGTCGTGGTTGGATATTCATATCAAGGGAACTGACTTCGGTGCCCATGCGCTTCTCCATGAAGGGGCGGAGCTTGCGCTCATCATCGATCTCGACGATTTTCTGCGACCCATTGGCCGGGTAGGAGATGTTGAGCTTCATCTTGACGGAGTGGCGCGGTCAAGACGGAGGGCGCGGGTTTGTCGACAGGTCGAGGTGGTTCAAGGTCGTCTCGGGTTCTTCGTGGGATTTTTCGCTGGTGTGAGGGTTAGCGAGATTCGCCCTGTGTGGGCGGATGACTCAGCGGCGCTAGGCTGGTCTGGGAATCGGGCCGCTCGGTAGGGCTTCTTATGTCAGCGTTTACTAATACCTTATGTAATCAAATCATGCTTTGTTCCTCTCTTTGGTGACCACTTTTTGTGACTTGGACTTTCTTTAGGTTCAACCTCTCGATACAGAACGATCGTGATGGAATTGTACACCAAATGCCGCCATGGAGATACTATAATGTCAGCTATCTGAGACCAACGGCCAGGCCATCTCAACCATAAAACACCCCATCTGAAACACCCAAGGATATCAATTGGAGTCGCCAGCCAGCAACATCTCCCATCAACAACGAACATGAGACCAATACTAACTAACCCACAACCACCTCACCAAACAGCCGCATACAATCCAAAAATGGCCCCCGGTGGGGCAAATCCAAAGGACAAGACAAAGACGAGAAAGAAAGAAAAAGAAAAGCAAAGGAAAAAAGCACTTGCTGTCGTCGGTCTAAGCGACGCACGCCACCGAGCAAACCACTCCCACCACACCCTAGGGCCGCGGACCCGACCCGCAACAGCCGTCCTTCGTGTCTTTTGCCTTGCCTCTGGGTCTATCCTTGGATGCTCTGTTATTATTGCTATCGTCATCATTGTGGTTACTGTGTAGGTTTCAGCCTGGTGAGGCAAGCAAGCATGCATGCATGCTTGTCGGTAAGCATGATTAGCAGCAGATAGGTCCATTTGTGGTTGCAGTTGTGGTAATAGTAAGAGTAGTAGTAGATAAATATGCTTATTGTTGTTCCTTTTTACTGCTGAGACAAGACATCACAAGACCGTGTGACCGGGTTGTTCTCTCCCCCTATACAGAGTTACAGAGTACTCGTGGCGGCTGTGTCCCAAAGATAACAAGCATATCCCTAGGGGAATTCCTTCCTTGCAGAAGAGACTCGTGGCTCTGCAAGCCTTTGATATATCCGGGGAGGTCCTGGTTATGTCGATAGTGTTGACTCGCTGGCAGAGCTCATCTGTAGCTCTGCCTGCAGCCAGCAGGAGCTGGACACGAGGTATTGAGGAAACCTCATACTAAACTGCATCATCCTGGGAAGCCACGATCTGCTTTAAGTGAGCTTGGGTATCCGGGAGATGTCTCACGGGTGGACAGCAACTGATGCCCGGTGAGAAAAACGTGAGATCCTGGGAATTCGAGAGTTGTTTGTTCTTCCCTGGTGACTGATCAGGCAGATCCTAGTTGATAGGGATTGTCTCCAAAGGCTGTGCCTGTCGAAAGCTACGGTCACCCAATATCAGGCCAACTTGAGCATTGAAGCTTGTCATCAATCGTTAAGTCATCTGCACCTGCACAGGACCGCCGGAATACTTCCCTTGTCTTCAAGCACTGACCTGTCTGAGTCCGTCTGATTCAGGGAAACAATTCCTGTTTGATTTGTCTTACAATTCTTTTTTTTTTGTTCTTTTCTGGGACGTCATCTTTCTTTGTTTCTCCCCTTCTTTCAGTCTTTCTTTGACCGTCGCTTCTGACGTCCCTGTTACCCACCTGGGATTCTTATTTGGACCGGCTCAGCAAACCATCCTATCGGCTGAGAGTAATTTGCGCCAATCACACAACGTCGATTGATGGGACCGGCTCTGGGGAAGCCCGTCTGAACTGCGGCCTCGCACGTCCTTTGTCTCGAACCCTTTGTGCGTCGGTCCTTCCACGCCTTCGTGCCTTGGCGATGTGTGTCATCCTGTAATGACGCCGAATCTCTCCCTGGTCGCCTCCCCAGGTATTACCGTCGGTCATGCCGAGTAACCCACCGCCAGCCTCCAGGCCCCATGTGGCGGAATCAGCTTTTGTAATTCGTAGAGGGATGACAATGCAATGCGTTAGGGGTCCCATCTGAATAAGAATGGCTCTGCTGGGGGTCGGCTGAGCAATTACCAGCATTGTCGATCAATAGGGGCAGTTGACAAAGCGGTTGCAAAACATCAAACGCCAAACCTTTCCTAGTAGACAGTTCAGTCTTTTGCGAACAGAAAGCCCGCGGCTGCGGGAATAGATTGTTCAAAAAGTAGAGCCGCTGTGGCTGTGTGTCCGGCTCAGTGAGGCAGGTGACTGCTGGCAAATTGTATGAATGGACCGTTGCCGAGGCCATGGCCCGTGCAACTCGCCGAATAATCCAGAGGGGACCACACGGTCTTTGCGTCCTCCTTCAGGGGTGTCGGGCCTGTGGGAGAACCTACGGGCAGCCACCAGGAGCAATGGGCTACACAGCATGGAAGCCATCATGGAACTAGTTTAATCTACTGTTTCACGATCGAAACGACATGATGTATGTATTCGAGACCGACGTAGTAAACTGTCGGGCGAACCGAGACTGGCGGCGAGTTGAGGGACCTGAATGGTGACCTAGGATGGAGACGAGATCGACGCCGCTTGCGTCCAGTATGTGGAAGATGGGGAGCGGTAGTGATGACATCAGAGGGAGAGACCGTGTGAGCATCCAGAGACCTCTCTGCTGCGGTAAGATCCATCCAAGTCCACCGTGGGACCCATCGGCTCGATCTAGGCCACCCTTTTCAAAGGCAGGGTCTCGACTCTTTAGCAATAAGATGGACCTGGGCCCATCGAGTGATGGACTTGTCAGGACAGAAGAGTTCCATGGAAGCTCAGCAGTGACATTGAAGAAAAGGGCAGGGGGGAAGTTAAAATTTTTTCCCCTGCCCTCAATCAGTCCGTCAGGGTTAATGAAACATAAGCAATTGCCAGTCTGCGCCGCCCGGGGAAAGTGAGGCCGCTCTGTACGGAGTGGGAGATCAAGATCAACCCGTGGAGAAACTCGTACTAGGACCCAGCGGGTTTGGGCCCAACACAATCAAACACTTACTGAGAATGGGCAAAATGACAGTGACTAGTCACTCCGTGCTTACTCTAGAGACATTGATGTCTAAGACTTGGTTTGCGACGAAATGTGGTCAACAAGAGGACTCCACCAAACCAGACCAGCGCTTCCGGGGGGGAGTCGCAGAGGTGGAGATTCGAAAAGGGAAAGGTGGTATGTCTCATTGGGTATAGTCCGGTAATAAAATAGAATAAAAGATCAAAGATAAAAAAAGAAATCAAAGGAATAAAGTAAGATAATCAAAAGAAAGGGGGGCAAAGAATAAGGGAAAAAAGAAAGGAAAGGTGAGTGAGACCTGGGGCACCCATCAGGTTCGATTGCAACGTGATTGTGGGGGGGGATCGGAATGTGATCACCGACCGGTCGATCGCATCGCCAGGATTGACAGGGGGTTGTGGGGTTGGAATTGAGAGGAGAATTAGAATTAGGATTTTGGAATGGGATTTGACGTTAGGGTTCCTGCAACATCAACGTGTCAGTACCGGAATTCGGATAGGTCAGAGGAGGGAGAGGAAGATGGTTTTGAAATGAGCTGCTTTCTAGGGAGAAGTTCTTAGGCCGGGGGGTTCTCTGGATGGGCGATAGCACTACCTCTCAGGCTCTTACAGTCACAGTCCAGGAGTGGCCAGCCTTTCTTTTCTTTTCTTTTCTCTACATCCGTCTCTCTCTCTTTTCTTTTCTTGACTTTTTTTTTTCGTTTTCCAGTTCATACCTATTTGTGGGTTTCTTTTGGTTTTTGGTTTGGTTTGATTTGCTTACATCTACTGATCTGCCTCCAGTCGTATTCATAGTGTTGGTGGTGGTTGTGGTGGTGGTTGGGGGGTGTTCCGCGCTAGCTAGATCAGGGTATACCGTCTGCTGTAGCCGGGAGGTGCCTCCATGCGAGATGGATATCCCAAGTTGGTTTGATGATTGATCATGCTTCCCTTCGTTCAATATTGTCTTTCCATTCGTGTGAAGGAGAGAAAAAAAAGAAATCCCATCCAATTTGCTTCTTTCTTTGTTTGATACCCATGGGACGGGACCAGGTGATCCCAAGTTAGGCAGGTGTCAGTGTGGCACACTAGCCGGTGGATCCCCCGGGGAGTGTGCCTGGAGCAGTGATTGGTTTGGGGGAGACTACGGCACACCGCATGCGGGCGTCCAACAGACAAAGGAACCAAGTTCAATTAAATGGAACTTCACTTCAAACAACTTGGAACAATAACCCTCCCTCTAGCGCTTGGGACGTCAATGAGTCTGGACTCTAGACTTGTCCAGGTAGTAGCCGCATTACTAACTGTCCCTAGTACTTACCCAGTAAGGTACCTACGACTGTTACTGCTCCTCCCACTTTTACTAGGTACTGCTACCACTCCCACCACTACTAATACTACTAATACTCCTAATACGGAGTACTACTACTACCTACCAGTAACAACCTTGTCTCTCGTTCCAAAGGTACCGTAAGACACCAACCCTTCAGGCTTATCCAGAGGTTCAACATGGTATGGTGGCATTCGTCTTCTCCTGTCCCCTTGGATCCCTGAACAGGATCCTTTCTTCCATGGTCAAGGTTGAGGGTCTTTTTTCCGACCTCCTTTACCAAAGGAACGGCCAGTCCATCCCTCCAGGTTCCATCCTGTTCCATTCATCGTAGTCTGGGGTGGGGGGAGGGGGAACGAGTGGACGTGTATCATCCAGAACAAAGAAAGGAAACACCGTAGAAAAGGAATAAAATAAATGAAATAAAACTAAAAAAAATCAATCAATGGTACCCAGGGCTAAACCTGGATTGCCTGCAAGGCCAGACTAATATGTGGCTCCAAAGATAGACTTATAACAAAGCACTTGAAAAGCCAAATCCCGGCTTCATCACGTTCGTCCTCAGTCCTGGTTGGTTCGGTTTGCCTGGTAACAACTACTATCACCAAAGACAACAAAAAGACAAAGAGATCGCTGAAAGAAAAAGAAAATAATCCTAATTATCATCACTATTATTTTCAGGGAAAATTAATTAAAGAAAGACCAGAACATATTATCGAGGAAAAAAGAAACCGAGAAGAAGAAGAACTATCAGAATTGATCGTCTGCTTTCTGTTTCCTGAGCCTCTGGGTTTCTGAATCATTTCAGAAAGGAACATCCGCCCCTCTTCTCTCCTCAAATAGAGCACAGAAGGGAACAAGAGAGTATTGCAGAAGAGAGACGGAGAGCAAAGAAACGAAATAAACCCAAACAAAGGAAGAAAGAAAGAAGAAAGAAAGTGTGGACAACCGACAGGGCACGAGGATCAATCTGGCGATAACTTTATATCTGCTTTCTTTCTTTTCTTTCTTTCGGTGACTTCGCCTCTTCGTCTTATCCTAGCAGCGCCAAATCATCTTCTCTTCTCTTTCTCCCTCTCGCCTTTTTCCATTCTCTTTCATCCTTCGGATGTTCTCCTCTTTCAGCCCACCCGCCGCCGACCCAAGAATCGTTTAATTTCTTCTTGCCTGCTTCATAAATGTCTTACGATCGAGTGCTCCCCAAACCGCCCGCTTTCCATTATGACTCTCAAGTCACCCTGTCTCGACCGACTAGCAATCTCCTCGAGCACAAGATCATGAATGACGACCTCACCAAGATGTCTGTGATGGATCATCGAAGAGATACTCCCGCCGTCGGAGCTTCTTGTCGCTATGTGGCCGACGCCCTCCCCCAGGTCCATCTCTCCTCTCTCAACCGGGCCAAGATCGCTTTGAATAAGATCGCTTCCACCGCGCCCATCGACCCTCAGAGGTCCACGGAGCCGGGGTTGGCCCCCCAGCTGGCCCTTCGAGAGCGCTCCTCGGTCTCGGAACGCTCCTCCTCCGCTAGCCCTACCAAGAGGGAGAGCGAGACCAAGTTCTGCCTGTGCCAGCCAGATCCGAAGATTCCCAGACCTCGAAATGGCAAGTTGCCCAAATCTCCACCGCACGGCGTCCTGCCATCTTCTAACACTCATTCCCACAGCCTTCATCCTCTATCGCCAACACTACCAAGCGGCAGTCGTGGCTTCGAACCCGGGACTCGCCAACCCCGAGGTCTCCAAGATCATTGGCATCCAATGGAGGAGTTTGCCCCAAGATACCAAGGATGAGTGGAAGAAACTCGCCGAGGTAGCTCACCCCAGATTTCGGGCTGGTCCCATGGTTACGTCAAAGACTAACCCTCACTAGGCTGAAAAAGCCCGGCATCAACAGCAATATCCGGAGTACCGGTATCAGCCGCGCCGTTATGGACGAGATGGCAGCTCTCGAGGCACGAGTTCGGGGATCAGCCACAACCCCAACGGCTCGAGTGTCTGCAGTCGGTGTGGTGGCCGAGTGATGAACCCGCCCGTATCTCCGGACGCCATCTTCACCCCAAATGGGTCCACGAGCTCGAGCGCTTCGTCGGCGACTCCAGAGGCGGCCACGGTCCGTAATTACCACTGCCGGACGACGGATGCAGAGCGTGTCCCGCACCCGATCAAGGTCGAGACGGCGAAGGTTGAGACTGATGGGGGCCATCATGCGTCTCGGCAACGCCAGTGGGAGGAGAACGGAGCTCGATCCCCAGACTCGAAGCGTCGACGTTTTAACCCCCAACCCACCTTCAAATCGAATTCCCATCGTGATAGAAGCCCGAGACCCCGTACCCGATATCCCCATACACCCCCCGCGGAGACGTCCCGCCGAATTATCGAGGCCCACATCACACCTTTCAAATGTGGCAGCCGCCTCGACCGCTGCGTAGTGCGCACTCAGGCCCACCGCATGATCCCAGCCTCACGCTCCCTCCCCTGCAAACGACCGCGACGACTCCCAGTGCCATGACCCCAGTCACCCCGTTCCCCAAAGAAGGGTCGAGCGTTGAGGCGACAGTGATGACGATCCCGTTCCTCAACAAGATCAAGGTTATCTCCAAGATTGCACCCCCGCTGACCCCCTCATTCCGGGAAGGGGCCGCTCAAAGACGGGGTGCCGTGATCGCTGTGGAGGGACAAGATTCGAAGCTGGTGAACGCCATGGTGGAACATCTGAACCACGTGCTGCAGAAAGAAGGCAAATATCAACCTCGCGTCTTCCCCGGACCCAAGGTGCCGACGGGGGAGAAATACGCGGAGCCCAACCAAGCGGGTCATGGTACGGTTGACTACATCCATACGATCTCGGGCTGGAACACGGTATCCAAGGACATTGTCCGCTTTGTCGCACCCGAGCTATCAGAAACGAAGTCGGTGGACGGGGAATCTGCAACGCCCGGGATGTCCCCAAGACCATCATCCCCAAGACGGCAGATATGCACATCCGCTCGCCGTCCCAGTCGAGCGACAACGGGTCGGTATCAGCGGGCTCTTCCTCGGGAGCAAGCACGTGTTTCGTTCCCGTCGCCCTCGTCCCTCAATATCAGCTGACGACGGCGGATTTCTTCGCCTGCTCGGTTCCCCTCAATGACTCGTACGCGGTGTTGGACCACTGGCAGTGGATGGCATCCCTGTGGCGGGGATGCGTGGGGGCCGATATCACCGTCTACATCCGGGACTGCGAGAGAGAGGAGTTGGACCGGTACGGGGGAAACCCCGTCGAGGTGCGTCTTCAGGACGCACGGACTGTGGTGCTACGTCGAGCTGCAGGGTCCACGCGGGACCTTGACGAAAAGGCCCTGAAACGTGTTGGATTCGAAATTGAGTTTTTCCTCTCCCAGTGATGGGTGGGTTGGTTCGATATTATTCCTTTCTTGTCTCTATTTGTGGACGTTTTTTTTTTTTCCTTTTTTTCTTTTCTTTCTTTTCTTTCTTTTTCCTTTTACTATTTTCTTATTTTTGGCGTTAAGATCTGTCATATATGGGATGGTTTTCTAATTGGTGAGTAGCCCCCAATCTGTCCACAGAGTTGGGGGTAGGGACATATACTCATCAGATGGTGGATGGGCGTTCCCGCCAGATATATTTGCGGAATCAGGTTACTGCTACTATTATTCTCTACCGTTTGATGTTCAGGACAATTTGCGTCAAAAATAGGGTCAACTTGATCTACAGTGAAATATACAATGAATAATACAACTCTTTGTGAGAAACACTTATCATTTAATCTGTTCACAATGCAGTGCAGCAGTATGTATGTCAACTTTACATACAGTCCCCCATCCTAGTGCTATGTGAGTGTCGATCCCTGCTTGGCACAGGCCATTAACTCTGCGGTGGAGCCTGGAGAGCGGTCAGAGCCCCAGCCCAATCAAGCACGCTAGACTGCGGGAGAGACCCGTGCGGCTTATCAGACTTCGGGGGTATCCACTGATTGCGCCTCGTCTTTCGCGACAGCCATCTGCATCAATCTTCTTCGCTCTTTCTTCCCCTTCCATCATTTTGGTCTTTTTGACACATATATACCGAGATTCTTTTGCATCTTGGTTTGGATGACCCCTCTGATGGTGAAGGCGATGTGAAAGCTTTTGGCCAACAACGATGAGTGGAACTTTCTGCGCCGCAATGGATCCTGCTGGTCAGGATAGCCCTCCCCACGCAGCAATGGCGCTTGATGGTGATGGGTATGGGCCTGCACTTGTATATGGTTCTGGGTCTGTTCTGCCAAGTGATGGCACTCCTAAGGTGTGTTTTCAGTCTACTTCGCACCGCCTACATTGCTTTCCGTTGAAGTGCACAATGGGCATCGCATGCGTCTGGACTGGTTAATTGATGGTTATTCTCTCTTAGATCATTAAGTTAGGTACAAATGATACCATGTCCATGGATCATAGCGATACCCCAATGGCGAATACCCTCGAAGCCCCTCTCCCCGGATCGTCAACGGATACCGTGGAATCCTCTACGCCGGCGACCTCGTTATCGGAGCATGGTCCCACACCAGACTCTTCCGCTGAGAGCCCCCAACCCATCAACGATGGTATTGAAAGTCTCGATAACTACATACCCGCGGGCATTTTGAGACGCATCGCAGGAGACGATCCCCACACCACTTTAGCGTCAGCGGCAGACAATTTTCCTTACGCAGAAGTGGTGAACTTGGAAGGTCACCGTTGGATCCGGACAACCGTCCATACATACCAGGACTATTCACATATGTGCTATGTCCGTGTGTATGTCTTACCCGATGACGTTGGCCGCAAGGCCATCCCTCGATCGAGCTCGTCATTGAGGCGCGCTTTGAAGGTCGTCATGGCGAGGGTGGATTCATCGGTTGGAGCTTGGCTGGGGGAGTCCTATTCGGGGGAACTATCGGACAAGAAATTGTCTGCCAGTGCGGAGGACGAGTCGATGTGGTATATTTTCAATACCCTGCGGGATCCGGAGCCTCGGGTTGAAGAAATGAAGGACTTATATGGGCGGAAAGCAATGGAGGAATTGCTTGCGGGGTCTGTTGGGGGTGAGGCTGAGACGGGGCAGGATCTCGGCGTACTGGGCCTCAAAACACCCCTATACCCGTACCAGCGCCGTTCGGCTGCTGCTATGATACAGCGGGAGGTTCAGCCGGCTCAGATGTTGGATCCTCGATTACAGGCCTTTTGCGGCCCGACGGGCCGGGTATATTACTATGATAAAGAAGAAGGCAGTATTGTGCGTGAGAAGCGGATGTATTCCGAAGCTTGTGGAGGTAGGTGTTTTGCCGTTAGCGAGGTCTTTCCTGGAGGTTATCTAATGTTTACTAGGAATTCTCGCAGAGACCATGGGCTGCGGAAAGACGCTAATCAGTTTGGCGGTCATCATGGCGACACGAGGCCACTTCCCCAGGATCCCGCTGGAGTATCAGGAGACAGAGAACGTCGTACGCCAGAAGACGGGGTCTCTAGTCGAGATGGCCGCAGCCGCAGCCGGTCGATTTTCGCTGCCGTGGAAAGCCCACTTCGAGACCGAGAGATTCTACGGCTCCAACTACGACCGATGTATCAAAGCATGCGAAGAGCACCGCGGTTCATATATTGTCCCGCCTCCACCGGCCCGGCATACAGGCCGCAACGGAGTGGCCTATCCCAGGCCGCCACCGCTCCATCTTCGACTTAGCTCGGGGACATTGATCATAGTGCCGCCCAACCTTGTAAACCACTGGCAGAAGGAGATCGCGCACCACACGGAAGGACTGAAGGTGCTTGTTCTTCGGGATAGTTCAGACGTGACGCCTCAACCAGACGAGCTTTTACAATACGACATTATCCTGTTTTCTAGGGTTCGCTTTGAAAGGGAGGCAGGGGAGGTGGTTTACAACCACCGTATTTCGAACAGGCCTGAAGATTCCCCCTTGACGAAACTCCACTGGTTACGTATCGTGGTCGACGAAGGCCACAACGTTGCCGGCCACGGCCAGCGGACGGTAATGATGCACATTCTGGCTCAGCTGCACTTCGAACGTCGGTGGGTCGTGTCGGGAACGCCGTCGAGCGGACTGTACGGAGTTGAAGTCAGCCTTGCATCGCACGAGACCAACATGAGCGACACGGACCTAGGAGAAGCCACGACAGCTGTCCTACGAGGAAGGAAGAACACGGGAGGTGCCCTAGCAAGCGAGCTCAAAGACCTAGACCGATTGCGACTCATAGTAGTCGAGTTCCTCGACGTCAAGCCGTGGTCCAACTCCCGTGCTAACGATCCCGCCAACTGGACAAAATACATCAAACCCATCGGGGAAGACGGGAAGCGCAAGAAAGCACCATCGCTCCGCTCGACGCTGCAGGGCATTGTCGTCCGACACCGCATGGACACCATCCACAGCGAGATCCCGCTTCCGCGACTGTACAACAAGGTCGTGCGGCTTGAGCCGACGTTTTTTGACAGGCTGAATTTGAATCTGTTTATATTCGTGATTGCGGTCAACGCGATCACGTCTGAGCGAAAGGATCAAGATTACCTGTGGCACCCGCGTAATAGGAAGCATCTCAGCCTTCTGATCAGCAACCTGCGAGCGGCAGGGTTCTGGTGGGCTGGTTCTGAGGCGGATGTCCCTGGGACTATTGATACTGCGTTGAAGTATATGGAAAAGAACAGAGATAAGATGACGGAGCAGGATATAGTTTTGCTGACAGACGGTGTACGGATCGCGCAGAGGGCGATCTCCAGCGAAAGCTGGCAGGCGTTTAGAAAGTACCATGAACTAGGAGTGTTCATTAAAGGGTTCCCGTCCCACGCTCGGAGCATGTGGGCACTGAACCAAGCGGAATGCGACAGGGAGCCGCTGCTCATGGGGATCTCCCAGGCACGGGATGCCCAAAAGTTTGTCACAGGACACTTAGACAGTTTTGATCCGGCAGAAGGTCTCGCAGGCGCAGGCATCAAAGTCCGACGCAAGCTCGCGCAGCGCGAGAACAACACCTCCGACACAGCAAGCACGAAGAAAACCACACCCGACAAGCCCATCAAACCCAAGACATCCAAAAAATCATATACCAAAGGGCTCACCAAAACCCTCCCCCCCGACTCCCCCCTCGCATCAACAAAACTAGTCGCAACAGCCTCCGCCAAACTAACCTACCTCCTCAGCCAAGTCCTCGCCCTACACAAAGCAGAAAAGATCATCATCTTCTACGACAACAACAACTCCGCCTTCTGGATCGCCGAAGGCCTCGAACTCCTCGGCATCGCCTTCCGCATCTACGCCAGCACACTCAAACCCGCCCAGCGCGCCGAATACCTAGAACTATTCCGCGAGTCGGAAGACATACGCGTCCTCCTAATGGACCTACGACAGGCCTCCCACGGCCTCCACATCGCAAACGCCTCGCGCGTCTTCATCATAAACCCCATCTGGCAGCCCAACGTCGAAAGTCAAGCCATCAAGCGCGCGCACCGTATCGGCCAGACGAGACCCGTCTTCGTCGAGACGCTCGTCCTCCAAGATACGCTCGAAGATAAGATGCTCCGGAGGCGGAAAGCAATGTCCGACACGGAGATCCAGCACGCAGAGCGCGATCTTCTCGACGATAGTACCATGAGCGCCATCATCCAGGACGAGCATTTCCTGCCTCTGCCGGAGGACGACTCAGCCGGGTGGGCCTTGTTGACGGGAGACGAAACACCGGGCCTGTTTGACCGCCACGCGCTTCCCCTCCCGGATGACCACGACGATAAACCCACGCCTAAGCCTAAACATGTACCCAAACCCAAACCCAAACTCCCGACACCAAAGCGCACCCGTCTTCCAGACGCGGAACCAGACCTTCTTACCCCGTTAAAACGCCGCCGTTCAGCGAATGTCCGCACTCACGTGTCTCCCGCGGGGATCGTAATGGAGGGTCCTCCGCCAGCGGCGCGCATCCGCTCGCCTGCTCCACAAAGTTCAGGAGCGGGTACTATAGTAAAGGATGAGAGTATGGACAGTCCCCCGCGGACACACATTCACTCACCTGCTGCGCAGTCCTCCAGCGCGGAAGCGTCTACTACAGTAAATGATAAAAGTATGAACGGCGTTACTGACACTGCTCGTCCGGCCGAAAGACCGAAAAAGACGGTCTCTCTGTTTGGGGGTGGTAGACCGGGGGATTGATCTATTGATATAAACGGGTTGGGTTAGTGTAAAATAGTATAGTATGATACCAGGCGTCATTGATTATAGGGACATATACGAATATTCACAAGAGATAATTGCACATTTAAAATTACATGGGTAGGTTAATCTACACTACAATCAAATAGAGTATAGACATACAAAGTGGAGCAGGCATGCAACAACGGCGCCGATCCCGATCACGTGTGGGGGTGG